ATGGACAGCCATTTTCAGGTCCCTCCAGAGATGTTCAATAGGATTCAAGTTAGGGCTCTGCCTGGGCCGCTCTAGGACATTCACAGAGTTGTCCCTAAGCCACTCCTGTGTTGTCCTGGCTGTGTACTTAGGATCATAGTCATGTTGGAAAGTGAACCTTCGGCGCAGTCTGAGGTCCTAAGTACTGTACAGGTTTTCACTGAGGATATCCCTATACTTTGCTCCATTCAGCTTTCTCTCAATCCTGACCAGTCTCCCAGTCCCTGCTGCTGAAAAAAATCTTCACAGCATGATACTGCCACCACCACGCTTCATTGTTAGGATGGTATTGGGCAGGTGATGAATGGTGTTTAGAATTGAGGCCAAACAGTTGAATCTTGTTCCTCACAGTCTGAGAGTCCTTCAGGTGCTTTTTAAAAAAACTCCAAACAGGCTTTAATGTGTTTTACAGTGAGGAGTCCCGGTTGTGCCAAACTTTTTCCATTTGAGAATTATGGAAGCCCCTGTGCTCTTAGGAACCTTCAGTGCAGCAGAAATGTTATTGTAGCCTTCCCCAGATCAGTGCCCTGCAATAATCCTATGAGCTTTGCAGGCAACTCCTTTGACCTCATGGCTTTTGCTCTGCTACAATATGCCTTGCTGTGAGGCCTTCTATAGAGAGATGTGTCCAATCAATTAAATTTAACCACAGGTGGATTCCAATAAAGGTGTAGAAACATGTCAGCAAGAGAAATGGGAGGCACTGGAGCTAAATTTTAAGTGTTGTTGCATGGGGTCTGAATACTTATGCCAATGTAATATTTCAGGTTTTTTCTTTTAAATAAATTTACAGACATTTTTAAAATTCTGTTTTCACTTTGTCATTATGAGGAACTGAGAGTAGATTAATGAAAAAATAATAATTTCATCAACTGTAGAATCAGGCTGCAGCATAACAAAATTGACAAAAGTGAATGGGGTCTGAATACTTTCTGAATGCATTGTATATAGTTGCCTTCATTCCATTAGCTTTAAATTGCCAGAATATGATTTTTTAAATAAAAAAATAGCTTTTAACTGCTGACAATACTTTTACAAATTAATTTTTTTATTACAAATAATTCTTTTACAACAAAACGCCAGTTTGGTCTAGAACAGGGGCGTCAAACTGCCGGCCCGCAGGCTGGATGCATCATAGCTAAACTGCTATGCTGGCAATGGTAAAAAAGTCGTGATGTGTCGCGACACGTTACGTGACGTTGCGAGTTTGACACCCCTGGTTTAAGGGTTAAGGCACCAGGATAGAAAGCAGGAGTACATGAGTTCAAGTCATGCTTTAGCCATGAAAGCCAACCCACTTCACAAGGTTGTTATCTGTAGGGAAAATAGAAGGAGGGAGGTGTGTTGGATATGTACATCACTTTTGAGTATTTTTAAAAATAATAAAGACAGGATACAAATAAAAAAAATTCTTTTAAATACCAATATAAGTTAAAGGGAGCACAGACAAAGCTGAATGTACATGTATGATCATTAGCAATTGTATGCACTGTATAGCATGCAATAAACATCCTATTGCTGCAAAAATTTTCTTTAATGCGAACTTATGAAATAGCACATTTGATGGACTGAAAACACACCAATATGGTTTTCTTTCCTTTTATAAATGGTATAGTCTTTTGATTAAAACATTATACAAAGTTCAGATGTGAGAAGCACTTGGTCCTCCAGATATGACTGAAGTGCAGCCATTAATCACCTCAGACAACATCTCCCAATAACAATTTTGCAACAAGTTAAAGGGCCAAAAGTTGTCCATTATGAATTACAATGATTTAAAACAAGAGAGGTCAGTCTGGTGCCTTCCAGATATTTTGAATGACAACTTCCTCTGACACCTGGAGAATGAACTTGACTTTGCTTACCATCTGGTATTACATCTCACAAGGAAAGAAGAAAGTACTTTAAATTTCTAGGCAGCTTCAATCCTTTCAGGCACAGTTAACCATAATAGAAACTTGTGAATTGGCTCTATCATTGTCTATGGGGTTTTTTCCCCCTTCCCATGATGCTATTTAAATACCATGAATAACCTAACAATATCTGATTTGAACTATCACCTAATGAACAAGACCAACATTTTAGAAATGGAAGCTGATTTTCATCTCTACCAGCCCTAGAAAGTTTTGCCTCAGATATTTCAGTTCAGCTTCATTTTTAACAAATACAGGGAATATTATTTACATTCTATGTACATTTATTGTATATAATCTCATTTAGGTTATGTAAAGTTAAAGACTATTTTTTACCATTCAAGATTTTTAAAAAAGCATCTTAAGTTCAGTCTCACCACATGATGATCTTGAACCAGCTCATTGCATATATTCTATAATAGAATACCACTTTTATTTTATCTAACTACTATAGAAGTGCAGGAAAAGACAGGGTCTCTAGCATCCAGAAGCTACCTTGCTGGTTAGATTAGTTATACCAGAAAAAAATTAAAGCCTTTTAACATAGTATTTGGATTATGTGGCAAAATAGGAAGCTCAGACAGGACTTGCTTTTTCAACAAGATCAGTAACAAACATCCTTATGTTTATCAGTTTTCATCCTGATAATTTTTCACTTAGGAAACAGCTGCCTTCCTACATACACATTTAGGCAAACTATTGATCAAGTACTGACAGATCTCTTCCTCCACTTTTTTTCTGGATGGTAATCTGTTTCCTCATTTCCCTTACCTGGTGAAGGGAAATAAAAGAACTGTGAAACTTAGTGCTTAGGAAAATATTGAGGTTTATTGAGGAGAAAATATTGAGGATAAAAAAATTATCCAATTCAATGCTTTGAAAAGCTGATAGATAATTATAGTTTTGTGGGATCTATTTTGCTTTTTACTAGAATACCAAAGTTAATTAACTAGGCTAGATGGAAATAATGGCTCAAGTGGGCAGACTTATGGTAAGAATTAAAGGGATGCTCTGAGTATATATTCAACTATGATTGGTATCAAACCAAACACCCAAGTTCTTTCATTTTAAAAAAATAGATGTTTCCCCCACAGTACTTTTTCAGCATCCTAACTTAGGAGAAAATGTGTTTTAGTTGTTGCTACAGTATTTTAGGTCAGTTGGGAACTTGAACATCTGCTGGCAATTGTTTATTAATCTATAGATCTAAATCAGACTTGAGGTATTGCAGTTGTAATACAAAACAGCAATCCAAGTTTTACAAATAACACACAATCCAAGCTGAGATTTCAATTTAAAGATTTCAGATTAGCACAGTTCTTAACTACTACTCTCCAATATGTCATCATCAATGCAATAGTGAGTTTTGCTTTCCTTTCTGTGGGAGACATTACTGGCAGGAAATTAAGTTAAATTACTGTTGTTTTCTACATAGGGGTCTGCAACATTTTCCATTTCCCACTAGAGAAAATTCTCTAATTTCAAATCTAGCTTTCTTTCGGTGTTGAAGACTGTATTCTTACAAAAACTGATTGACATTTAACAGTTCCAAAGAAACTTCATTTTGGTTACTATGGAAAGAGATATAAGATGTATGAGCATTAATTTCTGTTAATCTGCAGAGACAACTCTTGCCACGGGACAAGAGTTACACTAATATCGAAGAAATAGTGGAATAGAATCATTAAAAAAAGGATGCCAAAGGAGGGACAAAATGATATATGAATGATAAAATTTAAAATAATTTTAACTGTTTTAAATAATTGAATTGGCTTGTCCCACAGCGAGTTGTCCCATGGCGAGTTGGCTGTGGCGAATTGTCCCATTCCATCTTGTCTGGCATGCCTTTCTGCATTAACAGACATCAAAGATCACTGAATCACAGAACTTCTCAATACATTTAGGTTGTTTAGGTTGTACAAATTGTGGTTTATGCCCTGAATAGCTATATACTCAGTCTTCCTCTAACCAGAATTTGAGATCTGGCCACAAACATGGAACACCCTAATATTTGCCAGCTAGTTATTATAATCTTGCTCTGGTTTCAATCTTAAGGATTCAGAGTAATTAAGAAATTAAGCACAGAACTATTTTTGCCTACCTCCTGCCCTAAGGTTATCTGAATGTATAAGGCTGTCAGAAGATAACATTCAATTTCATTGGGTAAGCTCTTCATTCAAATAGTGGACAGGATAAAATTAATTAATACCTATAACTGTGATGCAGACACCACTCTGGTTGAAGTTTAAAAGTTTAAAGAACCCTCATGAGAGCCATGCCAGAGGTCTAGCTCAAAGTCTGATTATGTATTTAAAGCACAAGAAGTAGCTGAGAGCAAGGTGTGTAACCTCTGTGACATACATTTAATTTATTAAGCTTAAAGCTTCAATACTAAAGAAGTTTGGTAGCAACAGGAATCAAGCAATCTGTAACCGATAGATTGTTCGGTTTTTGATGCAGAGCCTCACTTGGGATCTCTGAACTACATTTAAAACTCAATGATCATGGTAGCTTGTGACTGGGCATGGAGAGTTACTGGGAATAAAATATTCCTCTCCCTCCCAATGGCTCTACTGCAAATCCCCTATAGCCCGTCAACTCTGTTCTACAAATGCATGCCCCAGGACAGAGGCCAATAATACTTGAATAAAAAGCCTGGGGCAAGAGAGCCAATGGAGTATGAATTTACATCTGTCCAGAAAGCAGCTCAGGGACAACCAACCCCTGATAAACAACGGTCGTTTTGGCAGAAATGCTAGACACTGGAAAGTGACAAACATCGCTTGAAATCACACTAGGCCTTTGGGGATTATTCAGAGAATAACCTATCCCAGCATACGGCTATCCATACAAGGGAGGCTAAGAGACCTGCTGCATGAAACCATCTAATACAGGGGTCTTCAAACTTGACCCTTTTATGATTTTGTGGACTTCAACTCCCAGAATTCCTGAGCCAGCACGGCTGGCTCAGGAATTCTGGAAGTTGAAGTCCACAAAATCATAAAAGGGCCAAGTTTGAAGACCCCTGATCTAATAGATTAGGGAACAAATACATTAAACAGAAAGATGCCCGATTCGCCGTTCTGAGAAAACTCCGCGCAAAGAATTAAAATGTTAAGAAACCTACGCCGAGTCGGCCAGCTTCAACGGGGTTTTGCGCAGCGGGGTAATGCGATCCCCCCCCCCTTACAGGGGCTACATATAAGGTCTCTGGCAGAGGAGGGGAAAGACACCTGGGGCAGAAAGAATGGCCCCATCTTACAACAAGGGGGAAGAGGGCCTAAAAAGGGGTGGCCTGCCTGCTATTTTCTTCCCTCCTGCCGGGAGCCTCCCTTCGAATTCTGAGCGGGTCGCATTGTGACGCCTGAATGGTTGCCGCGAGTGTGGCTCCCGCTGGGATCAGCTCCCGCGCGGGCTCGGCGTAGTCCAGGAGCTGCAAAAAAAAAAAAAAAAAAGGAAAAAAAAACATGGGGCTCCGCAAGACGGGAGGCGCGTGCACACTCGCCTTCTTGCTGAACCTGTGGTTGAACCTGCTAGCCGAAGAAGAGCCCGACATCGCCTTTAATGACTCGCTGTCTCTAGAAGCGGCTTTAGCGGAGCCTATCGTGCAGCTTGTGGACTCGGGTGAGGGACTCGGGGCGGCGCAAAACGGAAAGCCCGGCTCACCGACGCCGAGTCTTTCTGAGATTTCCCATAAAGAAAGGGAGGAGCCCGAAAAAGGCGGGCTGCCGAGAAGCACGCTTGCACTTTGGTTTAGGAAGGGGGCAGCTGGATGTTATGGAACACAGAGCGGCTGAAAAAATACTGTGCATATATTAATATCTGTTCCTGGCCTTCATCGTTTAAATTTACACAGCTGTAGGGAAAAAAATACAGAGCTGAATTTTGAAAATTAAAACGGATCCCATAGAAAGATATAAAAGCAGTTTTATGTTTAAGGGGTCAAGTGATAATTTGAAATTTAAACAATATACCTGCAATGTATGCTTGGGTAACTAAATTGAAGCAGAGTCCAGTTTGTTTCACATTATTGGGGGCGGAGGGGGGGGGGAAACTGGAGCAACTATTCGTATTTCAGGTGAACTGCACTAAAGAATTTAGGAAATACACTTCGCTCTAATTAGGTAACTACATCTTACCAGCTTGTGGTAACTCATCCTTTTGCAGGTGAAAATTTGACAGAGCCTAAAGAAGTAGAATTTGGAGAATGCACTGTTACATGTGGTGAGTATATATATATATATAAATAATGCTAAGGGTAGTTTTTTATTGTTTTAAGTTGTATTTTCTTATTTACTTCATGGTGATTTTCAATAATTGTTAGATATAATTTACAAAAACAATCCAGTTGATTGTCATTAGAAATTTAGGTCAGATCTGTTGTTAATTTCACAGCCTGTAAGCTCTTTTTAAAAAGCCAGTTCCTTTTCTTTATTGGCTATGAGCTGCTTTCACCAAGTAACAATTTCCCTCTATTTGTGAACATCTGTGAGATGTTCAGAAGCTGAAAGACCTTCTGATGCATCATCTCACAGATGTCTTCCCACTTACAATATTGCCAGCTCTATTAGCACAAATCACTTCTCAGCCGTAGCCTATTCAGCACTTATACAATTTATTAGTTGTGTTATGGGTAGTTCTGGCCTCAGAAGGAGCAGAGGGTTTTTAGAAGTAGAGCATTCATTGTCGAGTAACAGATGTCTGGCTTCATGCAGAGAAGAGTAAATCGGATAGGTGTTTCTCCCAGTGTACAGTATTCATTTCTCAGGTAGCTGAGATAGAAAACAAACTGGCTTGTTTGTTGTTGGATTTCTGCAGTAAAACAGGAAATATCCTCCAATCATGCAGCATTTGTTGTTAGTAATACTATTTAAATCATATACCCCCCACACAAATTAAAATCCACCAGTTGGTATCTATTTTATAGTCCAATGATCTCTATTCTTTCTGTATCCATATCATTCAACAGTTCTTTATTCTTTTCCACATATTATCCCAGTTCTTTTCATTATACAGTGCTTAAGTTTTCAGCAATTACAATAGAAGGATCACTAGCAGTAACTATCTGTAGCTTTCGATACCATCGACCATAGTATCCTTCTGCGTCGTCTCGGAGAGGTGGGGGTGGGCGGCACCGTATTGCGGTAGTTCTCCTCCTACCTCTCTGACAGGTCGCAGTAGGTGTTGGCGGGCGGACAGAGATCGACCCCTAGGCGCCTTGATTATGGGGTGCCTCAGGGCTCAGTCCTGTCCCCCCTCCTTTTTAACATCTACATGAAACCGCTGGATGAGATCATTCGGCGACACGGGGTGAGGTATCATCAGTACGCGGATGATACCCAATTGTATATCTCCACCCCGTGTCCTTTCAGTGAAGCAGTCGACGTGATGTGCCGGTGCCTGGAAGATGTGAGGGTCTGGATGGGGGTGAACAGGCTTAGACTCAACCCTGACAAGACCGAGTGGCTCTGGGTCTTGCCTCCCAAAGGCCAACTGGACGGTCCATCTTTAGCCCTGGGGGGGGGCAAATTTACCTCCCTCAGTGCAGGCACGCAACTTGGGTGTCCTCCTGGATTCACAGCTAAATTTGGAACAACATCTATCGGCTGTGGCCAGGGGGACCTTTGCACAGGTGCGCCTAGTGCACCAGTTGCGGCCTTATTTGGACCGGGAGGCTTTACTCACAGTCACTCATGCCCTTGTCACCTCAAGACTGGATTACTGTAACGCGCTCTACATGGGTCTACCCTTGAAGGGCGTTCGGAGGCTGCAGTTGGTTCAGAACACAGCCGCGAGAGCGATTGTGGGCGCGCCAAGGTACGCCCACGTGTCACCTATCCGCCGCGAGCTGCACTGGCTTCCTGTGGGTCTCCGGACGCAATTCAAGGTGTTGGTTATCACCTTTAAAGCCCTTCATGGCATAGGGCCAGGTTACCTACAGGACCGCATTCTGCCGCATAGCTCCCAGAGACCGGTGAGGTCCCATAGATTGGGTCTCCTTCGGGTCCCGTCGGCCAGACAATGTCGGCTGGCGGGCCCTCGGGGAAGGGCCTTTTCTGTGGTGGCTCCAACCTGGTGGAATCAACTTCCCGCCGAGGTGCGAACTACTCCCACCCTGCCGGCCTTTAAGAAAGCCGTTAAAACTCTCCTGTTCCGGCAGGCCTGGGGCTGATGTCCCCGGGGGGCCGGGATATGATCGGTCTCGCGGTATGACTGGATTATTTTATTGTTTTACGACTGTTTTTAATTTTGTACGCCGCCCTGAGTCCTTTGGGATTGGGCGGCATATAAATATTTGTAAATAAATAAATAAATAAATAAATAAATATCATTTAGAGCAGGGGTCTTCAAACTTGGCCCTTTTATGACTTGTGGACTTCTACTCCCAGAATTCCTCAGCCAGGCACATTGGCTGGGGAATTCTGGGAGTTGAAGTCCACAATTCATAAAAGGGCCAAGTTTGAAGGCCCCTGAATTAGAGGTTTTTCCATCCTCCAGCTCAATCAATAATCTTTATCTGGGTTGTATTTTATTTCAGAAAGAATTTATTTTTATGGTCCTAGCAATAACTATAGCTATATGTAGCTATATAAATATTGTAATGACATTTTATTTAAGGACTCTTTCTTTTTTGTTCCTTTGAGTCAGTGTTGACTTCTGGTGACTTCCTGAACAATTTTCTTGGCAAGGTTTTGGCATTGCCTCCTTCCTAGGGTTGAGAGAGACCTAGTTGGCTTTGTACTTAAAGTGGAACTAGAATTCACAGTCTCTTGGTTTCTAGGTGCCTTTAATCACTGATACCTTTAATCACTACAGCAAATTGGTTCTCTAGAGACTCTGTAATCGCATTAATATATAACTTTGATGCCAGGATTACCAATTGGATAACCTGGTAGCTTTTTTTCTGTTTCTTGCCATGTTGCAAAAATTTACATATTCCTGCCTAGAAGTGGTCTTTTTTCTATGGAAGAACTTTTCCTGTTCTTTTCAAGTTGGTATTTCATTCTCATCCATTTGAGAACTGGTTTTTTTTCTCTCCTCTCCATGATCTTCAGAAATCAGTTGTGAAATAAATAGGTATGATGCAAAGGATTATATTTAAAATCTATGTAATCATTTGATTATATTTTCTTCAGCTGGGTTCTGAATGCTTCCATTGTACTTAGAAATCATCCAGTCTCTTGGCTAGTTTCCACAGGGCTTGTATTTATTGTGAACAGATAGATACGTTGTATGGAATAGGAGTATAGATGTGGATTGGGAGTATATAAAATTGCATAGTTAGCAAGCACTCCAACAGCCTGATTTTTTAAATATATTGAATTTAGCAGAATGAATGTCAGAATAACCTTGACAGTTATAGACACTGGATTATAATTTGGATGATAATAACATAAGAGCAAGGATGGGATACCAGAGTGAGTTCACTATCTAAAAAGGCCTTAGGAAGCGAATGGGAAACCATTATTTCTCCCATCCCACCTATACTTTCCAAGGACTAGAAGAATTCTTTATTATCTTCCTGGTATGGCTGCTGCTTTCCCTACCTCCCTACTATCTTTGTCATCATCAGTTTTTGTTTCACTCTGGGTCTATGAAAAATATTCCGTAGGTTTGCAAAACAAGAAAAATGTTTTCAATAAAAGTGTCATTTACATTTCTAGCCATTTACATTTCTAGTTATTGTATTTTTGAGTTGAGTCATATTCAGCCATGTTGTAGAATCCTTATTTTGTGACAGTTCCAGTAAATATTGCTGCTTCCCTTTGTCACTTGAAGTAATGTTTTATGACTTACATGTAGTCCAAGAAATATTATAGTATCCATCAAGTTGTGCTCAATAGATTCAAAAGTACAAAACATCGGAAGTTGTTTTTCATATGCCTAAAATATAATTCAGTATTCAAATACATTTTATTCTGTTTATCTCTAGGTCAACAAAACATTTTTTTAAAGCCCTCTTTACTCCTTGTACTGTTCAATAAACAAATGTCTCTATAATGGATGATAATCTCTTTGATAATTTGCTGCGACTAAACATAATATTCTGTCCTCCCTCACATTATTTGTCATTTTAGCAAGCAGGGAATGCAGCATTTAGCATAAGAGAAAGAAGAAAAAAGCAAAGTAACTTAGCATTTGTGTTTAATATCTTTACATTTTTTAAAAAAATGATATGGCATTGCTAAGTGAAATATTGACAATAGAAATTTGGGATTCTATCTGATTTGAATTGCATATATGTGTATCTCTTTTCTGTTGGCTAGAATCCTCTGCATATTCACTAGGAAATATGTGCTCTTAATTTTTTTTTACTTATTCCTGAGTAAAGAAGATAAGTGAAAATAATCTGAAATGATATACAGGAAGTCCTCGACTCACAACAATTCATTTAGTGACCATTTGAAGTTACAATGGCATTGAAAAAAGTGACTTAGGACTGTTTTTCACACGTTTGACCCTTGCAGCATCCCCATGGTCATGTGATCAAAATTCAGATCCTTGGCAACTGACTCATATTTATGATGGTTGCAGTGTTCTGGGGTCATGTGATCACCCTTTGTGAACTGCTGACAAGCAAAGTCAATGGGGAAGCCAGATTCACTTAACAACCGTGTTACCATCTTAACAACTGCAGTGATTCACTTAACTGTGGCAAGAAAGATTGTAAAATAGAGGCAAAACTCACTTAACAGCTGTCTCACTTAGCAACAGAAATTTTGGGCTCAACTGTGGGCTACCTGTAATAGGCAATAGTAGCTTGTGCCTCATGGCATCAGACCCAGTGATGGTTATAGGGTAATTTATTCGTTTTGACTGTTGGACTTTGCATAGCATGTTCGTGGCTACACTTCAAAAGTAGGCTTGGTTTTGGGGGAGACATAGGGATTTTTAAGAGGAAAAAAATGGTCTATTAAAATTCTACAAGTTTTAAGGCACCAGTTTTGCCTCTTGACCATCTCCTCCCATGCCAAACTTAGTCCTGTTTTGTTCAGGTTTTGGAGTATTACTGTGATGAACAGAGTCCCAACTCTCTTCATGTAATTTATTTCCAGAATTCCATTGACGTACATATTGCTGTTGCTCCAATTACCAAAACTGTATTTTGTCAGATAAATAGAGAATGTTTGGATATTTAGACTTTGCCTACTGGCCAGCTTGATTTGCTGAGTGTGCTTGATTGGCCCTTTACTGCTCAAATTTCTTTCCTTTGCTAACTTGGCTGAATGCAGGCAGAGATTAAAAAAAAAAAAAGTTGCTTACTTGCCTATAGTTTTAAGCATTCAATACAAGGAGTTTGTGTCTTTCTGCCTCACCTCTGAACTTTTCAATATAAAATAGGTTAAGTGGTGGAGATCATTATTATTCTGTATTGTGGCCAGCAATACTGAAGTTAGTACCGGGTTGCTAATCATTAAATTTTCTGGAGTTTGGCAGAGCTGAGCTATGATACCCGGCCTGCTATTCAGCTGACAACACAGCAGTGGCAATGGACCATCAGTATTAGTGACGCCTTGAAGTGTTGGGAAAATGGGGTGGGAGTGAGGAGCTGGTTGTTAAATATTCACCTGCACACCACTGACTGTGGCAATGTTACTGTAATATTCAAAATCAAACATCTCTACAAATACTGAATTAAAATTAGTATCTTACTCTGGAGAGTGTAAATTTAAATACTTGATGGAAACAATTTTCCCCATCGAAAACCACCACAAGTACAGGTCATGCGTTCCATTATTGTCACTCTAAAATATAGAAGATGAAATTTATTACAACATCTTAGACATTAATTTTAAAAACCTTATAAAAAATATAATCCACTGAAAGGAACATTTTGAATCTAATAAAAATTCATGCTATTCCTGAGTGCACTATACACAGTCACACACACAAACGCCATTAGTGAATAATTTACAAATAACATTTATCTTACAAGAGTTGCTTAGAGGTTGAGATGAATGTAGTATCTGAAACATCCTTAACTTGTATCTTCTTTTTGGAACTCCTAGATCCCATAACATGTTCACTATTCTGATTTTTCCATTGATATCAATAAGCATTAAGGATGCTCAGTACCTGATTGGAATGAGCTCATCAGAGCAAAAATGCTTCAGGCACCAGATGGTGGATGCTTTGAAAGGCCAGGTTCATGAAGACTGCAAGCTAACATTGATATTTAAATTTTAATTAACTTGTTTGTTTCAGTAGTGTACAAAATGAAAGTGCATATCGAATTCAACTAAAAAGAGAACATTTTTGTATTGTGAGATGATGACTTAAGAGACGGTTTTAAGCAGTATTTTACTTATAAAAAGAAAATGTTTTTCTGAAGTCCTTTAGGTTTTTGGCACTTTTATTTTAAAAGATGGAATTTCCAAAGAGAGGAAATTAAAATATGAGCTGGGGATATATAGATATATAAATAAAAGACACATGTACACACATACTTCTTTTTAATAATTTTGATCAAAGGTATTGGCATTCGAGAAGTTATATTAACCAATGGATGTCCTGGAGGTGAAACAAAGTGTATTGTTCGTGTTGAAGAATGCAGAGGACCAGCAGATTGTGGCTGTAAGTCATGATGCAATGATAAATTCTAGTTGGCCTGTAAGAATTTCATGGCTCTCTTCCATAATAGCATGTGTTCATTGTGAGGTTGGTTATTTATTTACTTAAACTTATAGGTCACATCAATCAAAATCTAAACTCTAGGCAGGTTACTATAATAGTTAAAACTAAAATGGAATTCCTAAAAAGAAAAAGAACAAATGATAATAGAATGTCCACAGTGGGGAGAATAACACAACTAGTTAACAAAAACAATACAGAATGCACAATAGGAAGCCAGATCACAAGCCATCCTCTTCCAGAAACTGCTGAAAAGGGCCACATCTCCAAAAGGATCAAGCTTGTATCGATTTCAGGGGGAATGTTGTTTCTGGAGTGGAGACATAGCTTCAGAAAAGTCCTTTCTCTGAGGTTCCACAACATGACAGGACCTGGACTGAGCCAAAACTGCCAGGTCTGACTGGACAGAAAGAAACAACTAGTGCAAAGCCCTAGAACAGTGATGGCAAATCTTTTGGACTTTACAGGTCAAAAATTTGGAAAATGTCTAACTTGACTCTTCTGATCTCTCTCTCTCTCTCTCTCTCTCTCTCTCTCTCTCTCTCTCTCTCTCTCTCTCTCTCACACACACACACACACACACACACACACACACACACACACGAAACAGTTCTCTATCTACGTCTAGGCCACTCTGAATAACAGCACTAAGCATTAGTGCTGAGGCTGAGCCAAGTAGAGGCCCAGGCCTTAACTTCAGCCCTAGTCCCACCACTGCCACTCAAAAAAGCTGTTTTGTGCCATTCCCCAAGTCATATAAACCTTGGGGATTAGCATGGTTGCCCCCATAGCCCAGTTCTCCCAGGATCTGCCACACGCCATTTACCTTCAGGTGATGTGTTCTCTTTCTGTTGAAAGGCCTACCTGAGGCTGCTCCAGATCTCACAAGGCCTCCATTCTTGAAATGGCTTCGGAGAATGCTCTTCTGCACCTCTGCAGCCATCTCCCAAAACCACCTGAAAGAACACCTCATGGTTGTGCAATTTTTGGAGACTGTACAAGAACACAGCCCTCATTCTGACTTCAAGAAGGTCTGGAGGCCATGCATTCTCATGCAGCCTCCCAAAATTGAGGAAGAATGGGGTGTGTTTTTGAAATTAGTTATTGGGTGTTGATACCATTGACATGCGTATCATAGCTTCACCATCACTGTCTTTATAAATAACAAATAGCAAACTAAATTGCGTTTAGATGTGGTCCTCTAATACTTTAGGTCAGAGGTACTTTTTTTTTAAAGTAAGAATAAACTGAGCTGCATGCTATTTATTATTATTTTAACTTTAATTATTATTTCCAGAGCTTTAGATTGTTGGAATGAAAAAAAAAGCTAACTTCAATTGAGCTCAATTCTTGGCGATTACATGGATGTGTCCATGCAGTTTCCACATGGAAGTGGTTCACCATTGTAATCTTCTAGAAGCTAGAAGGTTTTTTTTAGTTCAGTTCCTCAGTTTAGTTTACAGCTCTGGTGGACTCATATCCAAGTTCTAACCAAGCCCAACCCTACTTAGTTTCCAAAAATCATCAATATAGTATCTAGTATCATATGGTAATATTATTTTATTATTTTAATAATGGCATGAAATGATGATGAAATCTGTTTTCTTGTAGGGGGCAAACCTATTTCTGAGAGTCTTCTTAGTGTGAAGATACCATGTATATTTGTACCTCCAGAAAATCGATTTCAATATATTTGGAAAATGTTGATTCCCGACCAAGTAAGTAATTTGTTTTAGGCTATACTGTATATTTGTATCTTGTAAATTTATCACGTGATTTTGCCAATTATTTCCTATTTCTTACATTTTGTATCTAATTTAACAATCCATTAGGTAGATCTAAAATTAATGCTATTTTTACATCAAAGAATCCCCATTGTAAATCAGAGAAAAAGCTACAACCTGAATGTCAAAATTGAAAGTTCACATGAAAGATATATTCAAAAGTCATTTAAAAATGGTTCATTCTTTATTGCTTTCTGATCTAAATAAGGCACTATCTCTACTCCTTGTATCATCCTTCATTATATTTCCCTGAGAAAAAAATTCTTTTTACTTACAACAAATCTCTCTCTAAACCCATCTCCAAGTTCAACCATATTATTTTCCTCCATGCCAAGTCCAGGTGAATTCTGTCTTTTAAAATATTTTATTCAGGATTAAACTGTTTGAAACAGAGGCAGAAACAGAATATGAGAATAAGCTTAATTGTAGACTATATAGTAGTCATTAATGTTAGCTAGATTTTTATAGAAATTTGTCCCCTCATCTCAACTTTTCCGTATTTAATTAAATAGTAATTTAATTAATAATTTTGATGTTAATCTTTCCCTTAAACATATTTCTCTGGAATATATAGTGTAAAAGCAAATCAGTAAGAGTTATAAAATTATGATTCATTCTACACTTTATCATAATTAACACTCTCTTTACCTTCCAGAAGATATTAAAACCTGGGTTTCTCTCCAAATGTTAGTCCAGAATATCAGGGGAATATATATGTGCATTTGTTTCTATGGGATTGTAATGTAGTCACCATTTCTTGTATTGGGTTATTTTAATTTGTTATCAGGATTTTTTAATATTGATTTGTATAGATTGTTAGCAGCCCAGATTTATGTATTTAAAATAACTAAACAAATAACACATGGGCGACCGATTTTTTACTCCAGATGCTGCCAAATAGTTCCCAGCAATCTCTGTCACTGTGGCAAATTGTGGGGTGCTTAGTGGTGTTGTTCAGCAATGTTTGCAGGAGCAAAGGATCCTTTTTTGTGAATTAAAAAAGATAATGTGACTGGAGTCTTAAAAATATTCTTGTTTTGGATATTATAAGGGAGAAAGGCGCCAAAGTTTTCACAAGATGTTGATGTAAATTCCTAATTATGAGATACATTTTGTCTTTTTCTCACCTTTGAATCACTAGCAATCACTCATTATTCCTAATGATTCAGCTATTTTGGAAGTACACAGAGATACTCATCCCGTTGCATTTGAGTGTGATACAATAGAAAATGATGAATTGATTGCATCTGTAAAATATACAGTGTACACCACAGCTGGTAAGTTCATGAAATTTGTAACTGTTTAGTCAGATAGTACTTCTCTTAAATGAATCTTTATGGGAAGAACAACACACTTGCTAATTTATTTATTTTCAATTAAATATTTAAGGTGCCCAATCCTTTATGACTTCTACTGTGTTTCCCCAAAAATAAGACCCGGTGTTATATTTTTTTATTTCCAAAAGAGGCATTAGGTCTTATTTTCAGGAAATGTCTTTTTTTCCCCCACTGTCTTGCCTCACAGCAGCAGCGCCGACAGCCTTGTCCATGGCTGCCGCCAGCCCACTTCTGTGACTGTTTGTCACTGCTCGCGTGCGTTGCCCTTGGCCTTCATTTTGCCAGCACAGACCTTTAGGAAAGACTTCTGCAGCCCAGAACGGAGTTTTGGGTTGATGTGCGCATTGTCTCCCATTTTGCCCACCCAGCCTCCGTTTCGTGAAATGAGGGCCGGGAGAGGTCATGTGTGTCAACCCGGAGCTTTGTTCTGGGCTGTTGAGGCCTTTCTTGAAGGCGAAATGGAGGCTGGAGGAGATGCAGAAGAAGTGGGCCGGTGGTGGCCACGTGGGCTCCTGCTGGATGAGGCTGTTGGTGCCTCCCCCACGAGGCGAGGCAAGTGTTGAGGCATGACAGGCCTGGCTGTGGCAGTCCTCAGGTAAGCAGGTGTGGAGTGTGTGGGGTAGCTCCACCCCTGCCCTAGCTTGATTTTTACTCATGCACCTCACCCCACCCCATGCAACCAGATGGTGGGATGGAGTGGGCGGGGTCTTAACTAGGGCTTATTTTGGGGATAGGGCTTATATTAGGCACACACGTAAAATCAAGCTAGGTCTTATTTTTGGGATAGGTCTTATTTTCAGGGAAACACACTAGTAGCATAGAAGATTTAATGTAACAATCTATACCATACAATAATACAAAAGAAGTGTATGGAGAAAACAGTCACTAACAAATAGATCTTGTGACCCACAAAATGCTCTCCACTGCTTTAGACAAAGGCCTGGGGAAAGACCCAAGGGATTGTCTAAAAAATAGATCAGGGTGAGGTCCATACTGATTTGTATAGATATCCTCTTCTTGGTTCCTGTCAGGTGGCTTTGCTTAATAGATGGATGAGAAACCTGCTAAATCTCTTGGGTCATCTAGGGCATTTTTGTATACGAAAGACTGAAATTCTGAAATTCCATTAAAATAGGAATTTTTGAACTGGATGGCACAAAAGAGTTGGGATTTTTGTGTGTGTTTCTTTGCTGCTATCTAATCATCATCTGCAGTTCTTCAGTCCAGATGTGGCATTAATTTAATGGAAAAAATGTTTACACCAGTGCTTGATTCATTATTCCCATTGAAATCAATGTTTGTATGACACTAGTGCATGTTTTGCAGTATATTTATATTAAGTTTCAGAAATGCCCATTTTTAATTTGTACTGTATAACACTTAATCTAGCATTTCAGAAGACAAGAACAACAGAAGTAGCTAGTGTCTGCCCAGTTCTCCCCAAGTCCTTTGTAAAGGTCTTGAAATACAGGTTGTCCTTGACTTACAATAGTTCATTTAGTGACCGTTTAAAGTTGCAACGGCACCGAAAAAAGTGACTTGACCGTTTTTTCACAGTTACGACCTTTGCAGCATTCCCATGATCATATGATCAAAATTCAGATGTTTGGCAACTGTTTCATACTTATGACTGTTGAAGCATCCTGGGGTCATGTGATCACTTTTTGCAACCTTCTGACAAGCAAAGTCAGTGGGGTAGTCAGATTGACTTAATAACGAGGTTACTAACTTTTCATCTGCAGTGATCCATTTAACAACTGTGGCAAGAAATGTTGTAAAATGGGGCAAATCTCACTTAGCAAATTCTCACTTAACAACATAAATTTTGGGCTCAATTTTGGTCGTAAGTTGAGGACTACCTGTATTACAGAGGAAAATTTTAGTGATACCGTATCTGCAGCTATCATCTTGCATTTTGCACCCAGAGTAGATAATAATTCCAAGGCTTTAAATGAAACCTCCAATCAACATGAAAAAATGTCCCCTTCTTTCAAAAAATGCTGTTCTTTTTCTATGGTAGTTACAGCGTATTCTTAATGAGGGTAGGTAGTTTTTTTCAGGAAAACTCTTGAAAAAGCTCTTATGTACACTGAGAACTTAGGCACTGGACACAAATTCCTTGTGTGTCTAATCATACTTGGCCAATAAAGAATTCTATTCTATTCTATTCTATTCTATTCTATTCTATTTTCTAGTCCTAGTCCTAATCCTAGTCCATTCCAAGCTGTCATGTGAAAAAAAAAACAGCATGGAAAGAATGTATATTGTCTCTTTGTGAAGAAGACAAATACATGCAAACCACAATGAGAACATATATAGAAGTAGAATAGTGAGTATAAAACAATGCCTCCAATTATTGTGTAGAAGCAGACATTTTAATACTTTAATCTCAATACCTCTGTTAAAGTCTGAGAGATTGATCTTGGTTTGCATTTACCCATCTTCCTCAGAATTGAAATTTGTAAAGTAAGAAACAATCTTGTTAACAGTAAAATAGAATTGCAATGAATGTTCCAACTCTGTTATTCTGTTTCTGAGATATTATTTAATATATATACTGTAAGTATGCTATTGCTTGCTTGATATATTGTGTAGAAGCAGACATTTTAATACTTTAATCTCAATACCTCTGTTAAAGTCTGAGAGATTGATCTTGGTTTGCATTTACCCATCTTCCTCAGAATTGAAATTTGTAAAGTAAGAAACAACCTTGATAACAGTAAAATAGAATTGCAATGAATGTTCCAACTCTGTTATTCTGTTTCTGAGATATTATTTAATATATATACTGTAAGTATGCTATTGCTTGCTTGATATACTGTAAGCTATGTGAGGTTCACTGTGATAATGACAATTGTATTGTTTTTAATATTGGGTAAATTCAATGTTATATCAAATTGACTTCTGCTGCCAGTGGCAGTTTTGCTTCTCCTTCTCCTACATATAACCTAGTTACTGTATATTCTTGAGAAATGAGACATAAAATATAAAATTCATTGAAGAAATGTGCTGAGAATTCTCATGTGTATGTTAATAAAAAGTAGGAGAAAGAAACAAGGAATATTGCTTAAACTGAACATCTCTGTATTTTTATCTGCTTTTTTTAATAAATAACTACTTAAAATGAATTTTTACCTTTTTCTTTAAAAATAATATAGTTTAATTCTTTTTATTCCTTGTGAGATTGATCGGTCTCCCAAAGTAGGAGTACTGATTTGTTGTCAGGAAAGTGGCATTGTAGAATTAATTTAATTTTTATTATCTTTTTCCCCTTTTTACTTACCCCTTTTTATTATCTTTTTCCCCTTTTTACTTACTTTACATGGGCTATGAATGCCCTGTCTCACATATGGGAGTTGTGGGGAGGACATCAAGTAAAAGCATGTCCCTGGAAAATAGGTATGGCAGGAGTGATTATCCAGCTATTAAACTAAAGCAGGAGGCAGAGTGTGGGTGTGTAGAGCCACTGGTTTCTGCCAGAGGAAATTCTTTCTTTTACCCTTACCACTGTCACTACATAGCTACTTGCTCTAATATAGTGTTTCCCAAACTTGACAATTTTAAGGCATGAGGACTTCAACTCTCAGAATTCCACAGCCAGCAACGCTGGCTGTGGAATTCTGGGAGTTGAAGTCCACATGCCTTAAAATTGTCAAGTTTGGGAAACACTGCTCTAATAAGCTGACTCAGTAACTCTGGATGACATTGTAAAGAATGAATTGTAAAGAAAAGTAGAGACTATTACTATTTATCCAAAGGAAGGCACTGAATTTAGGCAGAAGCAATCTTCCTTTTATTGGTAAGGAAGCTCAGCAGTATAAAGATTTTTGTATGTTTATAAACTTTTTTTTTCTTTGATATCTCTTTTTTTAGACATCTTATCTTAAATTCACATTCTAAAAAATAAAGATTAAAAGAAAAGTTTATAAACACATAACAAAAATCTTTATACTACTGACCTTATCAATAAAAAGTCTCAATAAGAATTAGTATAAATTGACTAGCCACAAGAAATACTTTCTAAATTGTAGGGGCGGGGAAAAAAATAATACTAATGATTACTGATTACATTTATATGTAGTTTAAAGCAGCGGTCCCCAACCTTTGCGGCTTGGTGGCCTGGCTGGGGGGGGGGAGAGGGGAACCACGCCATAAGAGTGGTGGGTTGGTGCGTGCATGCATAGCTCCACTCATGCAAGAGAGAAGACTTTGGGCACGGTCTCAGCTCCTTCAGGCTTCTCTACACCAAAAGCTTTTGCAAAGGGATGGAAGGCCTGAAGCAGCACAAGATTGCTCTTCCAAAGCTTTTGTCCATTTGCAAAAGCCTTTGGCACGGAGAAGAGAAGCCTTTGGGGGGGGCAGTCTCATTGCTCCTTCAGACTGACCAAGGCTGCCCAACGCTCCAGTTCAGGCAGCCTCAGTCAGCGAAGCTGAGCAGGGCATGCTCATCCCACTTAGCTTCTGCTCTCACCACTCTTTTGGAGTATTGGGAGCAGGCAGTTTAGTGGCCCAGCTCGGGGAAGAGGGGAAACCGAGTTGCCTGAGCAGCAGGCCATTGCACAAGCATGCATAACTTCACTTACGCAAGAGAAAAGCCTTTGGGGCACCACTCGTGCAAGTGGGGCTGTAAGCACTGTGCCCACCGCTTGTGCAAATGGGGCTGTGGTCCCATTGATCGGCCCTCATGCTGCCCAGTTGCAAATAGGCCGTGGCCCACAGATTGGGGACCCCTGGTTTAAAGCACCTCATTGTAAGATTCTCACCTACACAGTACATACTCAATCTATTCTTTCTTATATAAACCACTCACGTATGTTCAAGCACACAAACACATAGTTATGAAGGAAAAAAAACTGCAGAAATCTGATTTCAGCTTTCAGAAGCTTGCTTGCTTTATTTATTTATTTATTTATTTCCTGTCTTTATTACTTTATAAGTAA